GTCTCTTTTCCTAGGTCCATAGATATACTGGAAGCAGGCCACACCCCTAGGGAAACTCCCTTTCAACGGATTGGCTGCTCAAAACTTATACATCTGATCCCATCATTGGAACAACCCACATCACAATTGCTTAAACCACACAGAATTGTGGTCCAGCCAAGTTGACACACAGCTCCAACTATCATACCCTCTGTGCCACCAGAGCTCCTGTATGGAGGAGCAAGGAAATAATACAGGCTTATGTCTATGAAGAAGGCCTGGCACTCTACTTCTAAAAATAAGCCACGGAAAAGCTTAGGAACACAGTTCTACTCTGGCCACATGGATTTGCCATGAGTCCAAGATGACTGAATGACAACTTTTTTTTTTTTTTTTTTAATGTCTAGGAATGTATTGTGCTTTTAGTAACCTGCTGCTGTGTAACAAACTACTTAAAACTTTGTAGTTTGAAGCAGCCACCATGTCTTCTCTCATGATTCTAGGTAACTGGGCTCAGCTGGGTGGTTCTGTACCACATGATGTTGGCTAGGGCTGCAGTCACCTAGGTCAGCTGAGCTAAGACCTCCAACATGGCTCATGCCCATGGCTATCAGTTGTCTGGGAGCCTATCTGGAACTCCTGAGCAGACCACCTCATTCTCTTGTATGGCCAGGCTTCTCATAGCATGATGGTTGGATGCCAAGCATGGGCAAGTGTTCACCAAACCTATGTGACCCACTAGTTCCAGAGTCACTGTGGGAGCTGATAGCATGGAGGAGTGTCAGACAAAATAATAATCTAACCAAACTAACATCAGTTATTAATAGGAACTATAAAGATCAAAAGATTATCTACTTTAGGAGGGAACTGTATTGTCAAAGAAACTGGAATAAGGTCTTTGACTCATTTAACACAGATCTTGGGCCCTGAACCGTCCATAAGAGACACAAGCTGAGGAAGCTGTGGGGCCCGAGGGGAACACTCTAACACCCACCTCCACTGTGGCCAAAAAAAAAAAAAGACCCACTGCCGTCGAGTTGGATCCTACTCATAGTGAGCCCTCCTTGGGTTTCCAAGGTGGTATCACTATGGGAAGTAGATTGCCCAACAACCTTCCTTCCGAGGAGTGGCTGGTGGGTTTGAACTGCCAGCCTTCTGGTTAGCAGTCAAATGGCTTAGGACATAGAAAAAAGGCTGAATTGCCCCCTCTGCAATGGGGGCAGGGAGAACAGTGTTGAAGGGACTCCCCACACACACACCATCAGGATCTTTCCCTCATGGCAGGATCCCAGTCCTGCTATTGCAAAGACAATCTGTGGTGTGGCTATTATTCCTACTCCATGACTTATTAGGGGCTCAGATAAAGTGACTCTGAAGTGTACAGGCAGTACTGGCTTGGGGAGCAAGCTGTGTACTCCGCCAGAAATAATGAGAGGCTTGAGCTGGAGAGGAGCTATTCACTACATAGCAGGGGTAGGAGGGGGTACACTGAAATTTGGTGATGAGGGCCAGCAGTGAGATACTGGCCACGAGCTGGTCACAGCCATCTTCACACTCCTCCCTTGTGCACTGACGGTGCCATGGGGCCAGTCATGGCACCAAGTGTGGTGGGAGAGATGCATGTCCTTTCAGATCTGACTTAGGAACATCTCCACACCTGACTTCTCACAGCCACCTTCAGAGTTGCTTGCCAAAGACAGTGGAGTCACAAGATAAAGGCAGCCTGGTCCCTGAGCCTCTCCCTGCAGTCACTGGGCTTGGTGAGGTCACTGAGGATGGACAATGGCCACTGCACCAGGATGTGAAGTGCTGACTCACCATCCTGGTCCTCTCCCATGACCTGTTCTGGTAGGGTGTCCTCTGCCACCAGCAAACCCTTTCAGGTCTCCCCCAGCCTTGGTCTTTGTTTTGGGTCCCTGAATGGACATGAGGGCCAGTGTTGGGGCCGAGATTAATTCCAAGGCAGCCCAGCAGAAGGCCCAAGCTCAAGGCTCTCCCAGCCCTCCCTCCAGGCACTTCTCAAGGTCCTTCAGCCACCTCATCTGCACGTCTCCCACCCTGTCAGTGCCACTGCCCCCTCCAGCCCTGTCTGGACATGCTTCTGTCCCTCATCTGCTGGCCATCTTCTGATCACAGGTCTGAGAGGGGACGGCCCTTTGTACCACCCAGGAGCTGGTGGCTCATGGCAATCACGCACTCAGGGTCCATAAGCTGGCAAGCCATGGTTTGCTGGGGCAACTTCTTGTGACATGGACGCCAAAGAGGTGGTGAACACATGAAGTGCCTAAATACCAGCCCAGAACTGGCAATGTCACCTACACCTCATTTTAAGTGAGCCATGTAGCTAGGCTCAGATCATGGTGACATCCACTTGACCAGTTTTGAGGCCATGGCTGATGTGGTGCAGCGAGAGGTCAACAATTCCATCGGTCACACTGCTAGAGACCAGTTGTCCCAGGGTCCCACCAGGGCAGGAATCCCACAGGCTGCACCCTCCTCAAAATGAGGTCCAGAGGCAGAGCCCCAAGGTTACATGAGCAGGAAGACACAGCTGGCCTCCAGGCAAAATCACCTTTCCCCAGCCTGACCACCCTGCCCCACTCCCTCCACTCGTCTGTGTCTTGGGATTAATCAAAGGGAGTAGGGGAAGGACACAGCTAGAAACCAAATTGTGATACAAGTGATAAATTATATTTATACAGTAAATAAGTATCAAGTCAACACAAGCTCAAAGCCAACCACTAGACCTGGGACTTAGGATACCATAGGATGCTCCTTCCACCCGTGCTCATCAAAGGTGCACAGCAGCTGGAAGGCCTCATGATCAGTGTAGCAGGGACAGGGACCGTGTGCTCGGGGACCTGGTGCCAGAGGCAGAAAAGTAGGGGGCTGTAGTGGATGAAGGGGCAGATGTTGGAGCCTCAGAATACATCAGACTCTTCTGTTACAATGGAATTGATAACCCCAAGTAGGCAACTCTGGCCCTCCAGCCTGTAAGGCTAGCCCAGGCCCCTGACTACTCTGAGATAAAAACACCTTCCCAGGCAATCTCCTGCTCCACCCATCACTGTGCCTCCACCTGCCCCAGTCAAGAAGAGACCAGGTACTCTGTTCTTTAACAAAACCAGCATTAGCTTGGCCCCAGTTTGGCAGGGGCTGGGCTGATTAGAACTCTGGGAAGGTTTCCCAAGCAGAGCCTAGAGCAGCTCTAGTCAGCACATAGCTCTGGGGCAGAGAGGACTGCCACAGGAACTAACAGAGGGTGGCCTGAGCAAGCAGTTCCAATCAGGGCCCAGAAACTGCTTTGGAAGCTCATGGGTGCCTGATGCCAAGAGTCAGACCTTTTTAGACCCTAGGGCAGGGAGGGATCAGTCACTCCTTCAGGGGCAGGCTTGAAGTGGTTTGTGCACACACTGGGGAACAGCCCTTCCCTGAGAAGAAGCCAGCCTCCTCTGGTCTTATACATGACTGAATACTGTCTTTATCATGGCTGGTGGGGGAAGGCAGGCAGGAGGCTATGAGAGGGAGCTGATGTTGATGCATGTTTGTTAAACACCTACTCTGTGTGAAAATGATTATTTTCTTCCTCTCCAAAGTAAGAGATGAATTATCTTAAGTGGGCAACATGTATCTGGAGTGGGTAGCTGGATGGATCAGGGCCAGCCTGGTCCCTCACTCTGTCCCAGCCTGGGGATGCCCCAGGCCTATGGAAACAGAAGCACCACAGTCTGCCCTGAGATGCTGCCTCGTCCACATTACCACATCTTTAACCTGAGCATGGATCAAGACAGAGGAGCTAACACACACAGGGTTAAAGAGGTTTCTTCCATATCCGATTCCATTGTAAACAGAAGTCCTTGTTAATCCGTGCATGCCTTTAATTAAAAAAAGGAATTAGTTGATAAAAACTGTAAGTCACATTCATACATTATATTCTTTCTCTTTCAGATGTTGGTATATCAGTAAGAAAAATAACCTCTCAGGATCTAGCCAAAAAAGGCTGTAAATCCACCAGATTGGTAATTCACCAAAAAAGGGAGCTAAAGAAAGGAAAAGGCAACTGGAGGCCAGAATTTTTTTTGTTGCTGTTGTAGTTTTTCTTTTTTTAAATAAACATCATCTTTTATATGTAATCAAATTCCCATATTTTTTTTCCTATAAAGTCACAAAACTTTGCTCTAGTTTTTCCATAAGGCATTTTTTTTTGTTATCCAAACATCTCCTTTTTAAATTTTCTTACAGAGTTAAAACCATAAATAGGATTTAAACCACTAAAATGACATGTGCCAATATCTTAATTCAGCCAGACCTGGTAAATTCTATAAAAACTAGACAGTTAAATAAGAACCACATTATAAAAATATTAGCCAAAAAAAGACTATTAGATAATTCTGCAAACTCAAATATGAAACTGTACTAAACAAAATATGTGCAAACGTGTACAAGCATATAGCCACATGGCAGGGTTATGCTCAGATTAGTTTTAAAGCTTGCTCTAGTGGATTTAATTCAAGAGTTGTCCCATGGTAATTGTGCTTACTTTGAACTCACACACGAGTCAAAGAAAGTAAAATATGCACAACCACTCCCAACGAGTCCAGGTCTACGGCCAGGTGCGAGGCCCCCTCCCATCCACAACCAGCCCGCCTGGGCATAGACGATGCCACAGCCCCAGTCCTGTGCTTGGCAAGGTCCAAGAGTCACTCAGCAGCACTGCCAACTTCCTTCCTCCTGAGAGGGCCTCAGGAGTACAGCAGATCCCCAGTGGTGCCAGGGCAGGTGGTTGGGAGAAGGCAGCGAGAGCTGGGTTAGGCAGGTCCACTCTCGACTGGGCAGACTGGCTTACACGGGCACTGAGGCCCAGTGGGCTGTGTGCCCGTCCAGTGACTGTAGCTCGAGGAGGGCTGGGGTATAAGGGCAGTAGCTCTTCTCTGGCAGCTGGAGCTGGGATGCCCTAACTTCCCAGAGCTCTTGGACACAGTCTACACTGCATGAGGTCCTGGTCTGCCCCCTTGGGTACAGAGGCTCCAAGCACCACTCCTGGCAGTCCTGGATCAGGGCACTAGAGGAGGAAAGGGTTAGTTGTGCCAGAGGCCGGAGCTGCAGATGGGGAGACACCTGCGCTGCCCACCATGTTCATTACTGCAGGACCCAGTGGTGTCAACGAGGAGCCACTGCCACCCAGACCTGGATGTGGGGCCATGGAAGCCACGGAAGTTGTCGCCAGGGGCTCCACAGCTGGGCTGGGACTGAAGGACGTGCTGGCCCCTGGGACTGGGCTCCCTCGCAGCTGGTTCAGTGTCAATGGCTGGGGCTGGTTCACCTGGAAGGGGTTGATGGGGGCTGAGGCTGTAGCTGGACCTGGGAAAAGAGCAGGACAGGCAGTGAGCAGAACTATTGGGACAACATGGTCCTCAAAGCTGCCAAGAACCAGAGTGCCATCCACTCCTACACAGACCCCACTCTCTACCTGGTCTCTGCTGTGCCTGAAAGGCCTTTAATGGTGCTAAGCCCATGGCAGACACTGACAAAGACCTGAGTGAAGAGCAAGGCCCCACTGAGATGAATGACCCAGCTGTGGGGAGCTACATGCCTAAAGGGGCAGCACCAGCTGTGTGGCCCCCACGCACCTTCTTCCAGCAACCAAACAGCTGGTCCCTATTTGCGCTGTTGTGCCGTGACCAAGGGAGCCTGAGAAATGACAGCAGAGCTGTGAGCAGGCATCATGCAGGCCCAGGGGCCCTGCAGTAAATACCTGAGCCCCGTGTCTAACCAGTTTCTGTAGAGTTTGCATCACCTCAGAAAGCCTTTCACCCTTTTAGCAAAACATCTATAAATATGCTGCCCCAAACTGCTTAGCTGCCAGTACAGAGTCAGCTCACACAGGAAGGCAACCCACAGGCAACACTGCTCCTGTCACCTACACTAGGCAGTGGGGGGGAGGGGGGGCTCTCTAGTTCTCGAAGGCATAGAGGTATTCTTGCACCAAACTCTCGCTATGACTTTGCCGTAACCCCACAAGGTGAGCTGAGACCACAGGGGAGGGCAGTGACCTGCTGGAGGTCTTCTAACCAGGAAGGAATGGTGCCAGGACTGTGGACTCTTACGTGGCCTGGACAATCCAGTGGTCCTAAAGGTCCACCATGCTTCCTGGGCCACCTCATTGTGGCTGTGGTTCCAAGGGACTATGGGCACTTTTGCATACTGGAAAGCTGACTCAGTCCCCGACGGTGCCCACTGAGAGCCCAGGCAGGCTGTGCTGATGGACCTCCCTCTGGGTTGCTGGGCAAAGGTGGCAGGAGTCACCCTGGGGCAGGGACGCAATCAAGACTGGTTTTGGGCCCTAGGCTATAATCCAGTTCACCTTGGGAGGAGCTCCAAGGAGCAAGGGACCATGATGCCCCCTGTCCTAGGCACAGCCACACCCTACTCTGTTCCATACCTCTTTGGCCCCAAAGCACCACCCTCAGCCCGAGGCCACCTGCTGTCTTTCTGTGCCAGGTCCTCCTAATAGGGCACAGCCCCAGCTGTTCAGACCCTCCTTACCCTGGGCCAGCTCTGAGGCACACACCTTGATGTGGTCATCTCTGTTGGGGAATCTGTGAGGGAGATGGGAGGGTCTCTTAGAGTAAAGGGTCATCTGAGCTGGGTGTTGAAGGAAGAATGAGTGTTTCCCAGGAATAGAGGAAGCTATGGCCTCCCAGGCAGAGGGAACAGAATAAGCAAATGACTGAAGGTAAGGAAGAATGTTAAGGGACTCTTTGTGGCTCAGGGTTGATACATACAGGAGGCAAGAGGGTGGGGTAGGGTGGTCAGCAGATGACACTCGAATCAAGGGACCAGGGCTTATACTGCAGCCAATAGAGCTCCGGAAGGAATGGAGCAGAGCTTTAGACTGAACTGGGGTGGGAGGGTGGAGTTCTAGGAACTGAGTGAAGGTGCCTGGACCTTGAAAGGGGGCTCACACTAAAGAGCTCAGTTACATTTTCCCCCATAAAGCAGGGATGCAAACAACAAACTCTTGACTCCTCCTGTCTCAGGTATCCACCCCTCCCCTAACTTGCCCAGAGCTGACGTTCAAGTCTCCTAGTCAGGTGCTCCAAGTAGGAAGGAGCTGCCAGCTGAGAGAAGAGCTGCTCTCTGCTCATACCCATGCTTAACTTAGAAATAGCTTTGTCCCCACCCTCATAGCCTTGGAGAGAGGAGTTCTGGGTTTGGGCCCATCCCGGTGGCTCCTCTCCTTCCCAGTAGTGAGGCTGACCCCTTATCTGGGACCTGTGGAGGGAGGAGCCCATCAGAGAAACAAAAGAATGGGTTTCAGGAATAAGACAGCAGCCAAAAGATGTCCTGGGAGGGCATACCTGGGGCCAGGAAGGGATTGAGGGACTGGGCTGGCAGGGCAGGCTTGGTCACCAGCGAATCCAGGTTTACCAGGGCCGCGTTGGGGCCCAGGAAAGACTCAGGAGTTTTCCGAGCACTGCTGGGCTTGCTGGAGGCAACAGTCAGGGGCTGAGAGTCGAAGGGGTCAGGGCTTGTGGTTCCATTGTTTTGGGACTGCAGAGCAGCCACAGACTCAGCTACAAGACAAGGACATATAAGCACGGTGAGCATGGAGGTGAGAGCTGGGGATTTGTGGCACCACACTTAACACCCCATGTGCATTCCAAGCCACACACAATAGTCCTCCAACCTGAGATTCCCCAGAAGTCCACATGGATGTGCAGGAGATGGGGATGTTCATTGCAGGACTGACCCTACAGCCTGTACCAGGAGAAAAAGCTGCCACCCACAGGGCAGGTTAAATAACCAGACACTGTGCAGCCAGTAAAAACGCAGCTTCTGAGGAGATTAACAAAGAGGGTAGTATGCTGCGTGGACATATTAACTGAAAACAGTAGCTATAAGAGTACGTACAGCATAATCCTCCCAGATGTTGTTTTGGATTGGTGGCCAGGCACGGGCAATTTGTATTTTTCATGTTTGTGTTTTCTAAATTTTCTACAATGAACATTAATTTCTTGATAGTAAAAAGAAAGCAAATTATTTCTGAAATTCAGCCAACAGAGGGTGTGCTTGCTTTGCTGGGATGCAACGTGGTGACAGGCATGGAGATCCTTAAAAATGGTCATACTCTCTACTCAGTAGTCCCATTTCTAGGAATCCAGCCTAAGGAAACAATGTAAAATGTGCACAGGATGTTCACCATAGCATTATTTACAGTAGCAAAACCTGAAATCAACCTAAAACATCCTCCCAAAAATCAACTATTAAATAATCAAGCTCAGTCACACAAAATGACAACCAGAAAACACATGCTATGTACAGGTGGTAGGATTACAAAGGACTTTCATTTTCTTCCTCAAACTCTACCATATTTTCCAAATTTCCTACAATGTGAATACATATATGATTGAAGAGATATATTATGAAAGTCCATGGTAGAATGTTCACATAACAATGGCCCAGCAGCCTTCACACAAGTGTGAAGGGCGGGCAAGGATAGTTAGGTTATACTCGGGCCCGCAGAAGAAAAAACCCAAACTCACTACCACTGAGTCGATTCTGACTCACAGTGACCCTAAAGGACAGAACAGAACTGACCCACAGGGTTTCCGAGGCTGTAAATCTTTATGGAAGCAGACAGCCACATCTTTTTTCCCATGGAGTGGCTGGTGTGTTCACCAACCTTCCTTTTTTTTTTTTTTTTTTCAATGCAGTGAAAGAAAGACCCCAAGAAAGAGTGTGTTCTCCAAGCTGTCCCTGGCCTCCTGGCTGGTCAGGGGCCTGGCTGCTCATACCTGAGACCAGGGCTGGCCAGGCCTGTGGCTGCAGCTGGGGAGTCAAGAGAAGGGAGAGGAGAAAGAGGGCAAAAGGGACAGAGGAGTGGGGGGAGGGGGAGAGGTAGGGAAAGGGAAGAGAAAGGAGAAAAGTTGCTGTGTGTGGCTGGAGGCATGGTCCTGTGATCACTGCTGGCATGGGTAGAGGCCCTACCTGTCCCCAGCTCCACACAGGAGTAGGTAAAGAAGGCATTCCTGGCCCCTCCAGGCCCACCTCCATCCCCAAGGCCATTTTCTCCCACCCTGGGTACACTCAGGGAAGAAGCTGGATTTGGAGGTCAGGCAGGAGATGACCTGACAGTAATTACGCCCATGAACAAAGGCAGGGCTGTTTAGAAAAAAGTGACATCTCTGGGTAATGGGAAGTTGAAACATCTTCCAGACCCCAGAAAAGGTTGTGTCAAGCCAGGAGGCACCTGTCCCAAGGTTTGGCTGACTTGGTGACATGACCAGGGGAAGCAGGCCAACATGACTGGAATAGGAAGTACAGCCCAATAGAGAGATTAAAAAATCCTCCAACACAGACTTCTCATTGTGTAAGTGCAAACTGCTGTAGCTAGAACCTTAAGGTTCCCAAGATCAGAACTCAGAAGTACACAGAGCTGAAACACACAGAATGTTATAGAAATCATAATCACCTCTACATACCTGTTTTTTTTGAAGTTCGGAGATTGTCAAATTCAGAAAAGTCATCTTTAATTGTACCATTCAGATTATTGAAGAGATCAAAGGACCCTGGGTTGGATACAAGAGGCAATGATGGGAATGCATCAGGTGGCTTCTGTGCTTCAGTGTCCCAGTCCACAGCCTGGGCTGGGCTGGCAGCAAGGAGAGAGACATCTCCACCCCCACCCACAGAGAGAATTTTGGGGGCCAGAGAGGGCATGACCAGCTCTGGGTCACCTGTAGGCTGATAGGACCAGGAGGGCAGGGTCAGGAATGTGGCCCCCAGTACATAGTATGGGGTGCTCCTGCTATGGCCTCTTACTAAGCATGCTCCTGCAACTGGGGGGAGGGAGGGAAGGGGCCAAAGATAGAGGTGGTATATTTCAGCTGGGCTCAGAAGCTTGGATTAGGGTTTGTGGGAAGTTCCCTGAGGATCTGAGTACAGGGGATAGGCCCAGGCCATGGCCCCAGAGCCCAACATAGCCAGCTCTCCCACACCTATTCAGGTGCTCGCCCAGGAAGGTGTGAGGCTGTACAAAGGAAGGCCGGTGAGTTTCTGCCAGCCCACTTGGCCTGGCTCTTACCAGAGGAGGACACAGGCTTAGCGGCAGAGGCTGCACCCCAGGCATCAGAGGTTCTTGTCCCAGCAGTTGAGGCTGGCTGCTGCGGAGCAGCCCAGGGGTCTGAGCCCTTGGGGATGGAGTGCATGCTGGCTCCAGTGGCCATTCCCCATGGATCAACAGATGCCACTGGCTTGGTACCTGTGAGAAGGGCAGGCTAGGGCTCAGAGGCGCCCTTAGAACATTCCAGGCAGGGGAGAGGATGCTGTGGGCCTCACACAGGTACTGGGCAGAGCTGGAGCCCCAACTGCACACTGTGGGGCTCTCCTTCTCAGGACAGCATAGGGCCGTCCCTCTGGTGAGAGGCCAGAGAGGACACGGCTGCAGGGTGGACCTTCCCAAGCCTCCTGCCCCTTCAGCTGCATCTCACTCCAGTCAGGTAGCTGAAGCAGGCTCCCCTCAACAACTACAACTAGGCTGCGACGCCACACTCTCCGGGGGGCTCCCCGAGCACTCAACCATACTTCCTGTGAAAGCTCAACATTCTGTCCCCATCCCACCCCACCCATGTGCCTGGAGTAGCTTTTCTGACAGGTGGATGAAGAAAAGGAACAAGCTTTTCTGACAGGTGGATGAAGAAAAGGAACAAGTCCTGCATAAAGAGAAATAAACAAAAAGACAAACAACCCAATTAAAAAATGGGCAGAAGACATGAATAGACACTTCACCAAGGAGGATATTCAAGTGGCCAACAAACATATGAA